TACACTTAGAGACAGACAACCAAGCACACTCACATTCACACCTACGGACAATTTAGAATCACTAATTGACCTCAACATGCTTTTGGACTGTGTGGGAGGAAGCCAGAGAACCCAGAGAGAACCCACGCTGCACGGGGAGAACATGCAAACTCTGAGCTACAACCAACAACCACGATTTTGCAATAATTCAGTGCACTTAGAGTTAATGTTGCCGTCAAAGCTGTTGGATCTTACACCACAGTGGAAACAAAAAGACTAAAAAGGCCGAATATGAAGCTTTTTCTGTAAGCCACCTTGCACCTGCCTTGTACCTGCAGTGGACGCCACCTAATGCAACACATCTTAAGTGCATATTTTCAAATAATGTTTTAATTAATCAATTTTTTACTCTGGGCTTTTTAGTTCTGGAGCAGTTGTCCACTTTACAAGACATCTAGGCCTACAAATCTGTTAATAAGTCAAAACCTTGCTTGAATCTCTTGTTTTGGAAATAAATGGGTCGATAATAACAAACTGGGTTGTTATTCTACTGTTACTGTACTCGTCAATGACAGAAATGATAAATACAGTGCAGTCAGGCTGCAAATGCATACAAAGTGCACATTATATATCTTCCACTTCCTTCTTTTAATTAACAGTAACACCAGCTGCAGTTGCTTATCCAACCTAAGCTGCAGCTGTGCTTATGAGGAATCCTCTATCAGCATCTCTACTCCTGGAGCAGGATTATTCCAAAAGCACAGCACCTCTATAAGTTTAACTCAGCTGTCTAAACTGTTATCTTCTCCTTGCTTCGAATATGGTAACGGCCACTGTTTTCGCTCCTCCCCCAGTCTTCTTTTTCTGCAATATACATGCATAAAATGGTATGTTCCATCTCTAATTTCCTGCAGTAATCATGGCTGAGCCTGGTGTTGTGAGACTGATCATCTGAGCCGGGCTGACCGACCGTGAAACTGTCTGGGGAGAGGCCCAAGCAAAAGGCCAAGTTTGCTTCTCTAGCCGGAGGTGTTTGCAGTGAGGGTGCATCATTCAGCTTTATTAGGTGCAAGGATTACACTGAATAGACACGTGGGATGAAAGAGGAAAAAAAAAAAAAAAAAAGACAGAGAGAGGGGAGAATAAAGAAGGAGAGAGAGGCGCGACTGCCATCCTAGCAACAGTTCCCTTAGCAACGCAATCTGTCTAGAGAGGAAAGAGGCCGGCACTGCTGACACACTGAAGGTTATCTCCCAGCATTCCCTTACACTTTCTCTCACACACACACACACACACAACGATGCCTTCTGGCCCAAAGCAGGCAGTCGTCGGTAATCACACCTTGATCACCCGAATCTGACATGGCGGTCACTTCAATAGGTCAGCGCACCGCAGCGTGCACAAGAGGACCTGACAGTTTATCGAAGCTGTCATCGTGTTCAACAAGTGCTGAGCCAGACTGAGGCTGCGCTATCAAAACAGAGCGGCGCGTGCAGGATGTGGGGCATGCTGCTGAACAGGCTGGATGGGATGAAGTGCAGGCTTTACCCCAGGGAGCACGCCGCCTCAATCTGGGCTGCACCGTGGGAGGCCTCGGTGTATTTATAGTCAGGAGGAGAGGCTCGCTATGCAATGCAACGGCCGCTTGTTTGTCAGATATTCATCTCCTCCTTATCCACATGAAACTTTTTTATTGGAGTTTGGAGGTCTGGCTCAAGGGGACAGTGGTTAGAGGCCATCATCGAGCTCTCTCATTACCTGACTGATGGCTGGAGGAGAAAATGATACGAGCTAAACTATTTGTCACTGAGGACAAGGGCTTCTAACCTCTCAGTGGCAGAGTACTCTCAGTCATCGGCTGTGACTGTAAAAGGATATTGGAAAAAACCGACACTGTGATACTTTGATTTTCAAGGATCTGAAAGTATAGGAATTTTCACCAGATGATGTGAATAACTATTCTGAAAGACTGGATCACTTTTGGATAATATGGACGATTTTGTAGGGGAGTGCATCAAAAATAAAAAGTATTTTTATAAAAGCTGAATAAGGCTGTATGGAAGTTTTATCATAAGGTGTAGCATTGGTAAAGACATTCAAAATATATAGATATCTTTTTTTTTTGGATGGCATTCAGATGTGGCTCTGTCATACAGAGCTTTGTTGGGTGAATGGTCAAACAAATCAGTCGTGTTGCAGCAACAACTGCAAGACATTCCAGAGGGCTGAACTACGAAGTGAGATTAATGGGTTAGCAGGTATGTTGAGCCTAAAGTCAGAGTTTTCAGTGTCACAAAGGTGACTCTCATTTAACCGGCTAGAGCTCCATGGCAACTGATGCTGTGGAGCTAACCCCTTCCGGAGCAGGTTATGTTCAGAGTTTCATATTTAAATCAGCTGTTAGAAGCGTCTCCCTTTAACCAAATTGTTTCCTGACAATTCTTTATGAGCAATGCAGACTGTCAGCTGAGGGAA